ACAGAACCCACAGGGTAGGAGGAGAGAAGCTTCAGACGAGACAAGGGGCATCGAGGTCAGCTCCTGGACATAAAATCACGTGCCTCAGAGCGTATTCCTCCAGCATCTCTGGATTCTCCTTCTGACTGAGAGAACCACCAGGGAGTGTGTCATCAGTGACAAAAAATACAAAATGAATGTCTTCTGGTATTGCTGGAATACAAAAGAAGCCAGAAGGGGCAAGACAAGAAGCGAAACGAGGTAAGGGGAGGCCAGAAGAGGATGGCAAAAGAGGTGAGGTGAGATGAGGGGATGCCAGAAGGCTAGAGGAGACAAAGGGAGATGAGAAGGGGATGGGAGAAGGGGGTGCCAGAATGGGACACCAGAAGGGGGTCAATAAGAAGTGAGATAAGATGACACCAGACAGGGATTCCAGAAGGGAACACCAGATAGGGCAAGATGAAGGGTGAGATGTGATGAGGGGAGGACAGAAGGGGCGAAACAAAAGGCAAGACAAGACAGGAGGTGAGGCGAGATGAGGGGACTCGAGAAGAGGAGTTGGCAGCAAGGCTAACCACCATGAGCCCAGGTCCTTTTTTCAGCCATAGTTAATTAACTCTTGAATAACTTCCCAAATGCCCCTGGGCTTGGCAGAGTCCCCTGGCACAGGCTGAGCCTGGTTTGCAGCCAGCTCGTACTTCGGCCCCAGGGCATGGGAAGGAGCTGTGGATCAGGGGACAGGCACTGAGTGCTGGGAACCCAATGGCACCGAGCCCCAAAGCCACCAAATCAAGCATCTGGTACTTGCCTTCTGTCTTCCAGGACCACCTGGAGATGATGCTGTCCCTATATCAAGGATTTGTCCAAGTAGGTATGCCAGAGTCCTCTTAAGTCCTGTGAGGCACCAAGGTGAGAGACCGATCCCTTGGGGCCATAGGAACATGACATCTGGGGACACTGAGAAGTGAGAGGCCAATGGGGACATGGACAGTGGGGACATCATGGTGATACGGGGACATCGTGGGGACATGAGGACAGGGAGACGTGGAGGTATCATGACATGGGGACACATAGAAGCAGGTGGGTGACAGGGACATCAGAATACAGGGCAACAAAGACACGCGTCCCTGGCAGTGTCCACTCAGCGCCCTTGTTGCCAAGCAGGAGATTGGGAGTGAATAAAAATCTAGCAGTGGCAGCTGGGTTTCCTTGTCATTTACTGCTGCAAAATCCAAAGACCATGACTTTTAGATCTTTGAAATCTCAGAATCGTGGGGTCTTAGACTCATAGAATGAACAAATCATGGAACCACAGAATCACAGAATCACAGTATTGTAGAACTATAAAGTCAAGGAGTCACTTGGGTGTGACAAGACCCCTACAGTCTCATCAGGAAACATGTCATGTATTTTCTCCTCATAACCAACATCAGGAGTCACCACGTTACATCCAGAAATCTGCATTGTGAATCTGAAACGGCAGTAGTGCTGCCTCTGTCCATGAGGACAATTTGTCCTTAGGACACGCAGTCAGGCTCAAAAATTTGTGTTGGGGTTTGGAGTCACTGGGCTGTGTGCCTGAGTTTCAGCAGAACAAAAGGTGTCCCACTGGTTTTGTTCCCGTGATGGTCCAGCCTCCTGTCATGGCTTCAAAGAAAGTGACTCTTGTTTTATCCGGATGAAAAGAAATAATAAAACACTGATGAATGGCTTGGAACTGTAAATGGCTCAACGGTTCCTCAAGAAAAAGCGGTGTGCTAATTTTAAGTGTTATGTCTGGCAGAATGGATAGCTGGTCACGGCCTTGTGGGACGTTTCCCATAGATAAGAGAGCTGCTGTGCTCTGAAAAGATCACTTGAATGTCTGCTTTGGAAATTGCCCAGAGAGCAGTCAGCTGGAAGAGTTTCCTTTGGGCTGCTTCTGCTCTGCAGCGTTTGTCAGGGAGCTTATCAGTGCTGTGTTATTTGCTGTATTTAAATACAGACTGACATCACACTTAGGTGAGGTGAAGACTGTTTTTAAGATAAAGGCAAAGCAGGTGGGTGATACTTGGTAGTAACTTCACATTAAAGGTTCCACTCAGGAAAACCTTCTTTGCTGGTTTGATGATTCCTAAAAAGGAATCCTAAGTTCTTTGTAACTGTACAATGCTGAAACGTAAAGTGTGATGGGGTCTGAGGTTCTCAGGCTGCTCAGCCAGCAGCTGAGCATGGAATCATGGCTTCTTTTAACTTGGAAAAGACCTCTCAGGTCATCCAACCATTAACTCAGTGCTGCCAATTCCACCGCTAAACCCACAACCTGTGACATGTCACCATATCTGCATCATGTCACACTGCTGGGCCCCGGGCTTGTGGTGCTGGGGAGTAGGTGCGGGGAAAATGGCATGGCACATCCTTGGTTGGGCTTGATGTTCTCAGAGGTCTTCTCCAACTTCAGTTCTTCTGGGATTCTAGGACAAGAGGACACTGGGATTCGGGCATGATATTAGGATTCCCCCCTTTGGGGCTCGGTGCCATTGGGTTCCCAGCACTTAGTGCCCTTCCCCTCATCCCTGGCTCCTTCCCATGCCCTGGAGCCAAGGTAGGGGCTGGCTGCATGCCAGGCTCAGCCTGTGCCAGGGGACTCTGCCAAGCCCAGGGGCATTTTGGAACGTGAGAGGGGTCCCAAGAGAATAAATGCAGCCCTGGCTTCTTGCAGCCTCACCCAGCTCCCAGCGTACAGTGGAAGATGAAAGCAGTTGCTGTCATCGTGCTCCTGCTCCTCGCCTCCATGTGCCTCCAGGCACAGGCTAGGGTGTGCAGACGGGTACTTGGTAACGGGCTGGCTCGCAACCACTTTCTCCTTGGGTTCCCTTGCTTCCTGCTCTTTGGGTCCCCTGTGTCCCCTTGGTTTCCTCTCTTTGGGTTCCTTTGGTTCCTTCTCTTTGGGTCCCCGGGTTCACTTGGTTTCCTCTTTGTGAGTCCTATTGACTCCCTTTCTTTGGGTCTTCTTGGTTTCTTCTCTTTGGGTTTCCTCTTTAGGTCCCCTCTGTCCCCTCTCCTTGGATCCTCTTGGCCCCCCTTCTTGGGTCCCCTTGTTTCCTTCTTTGGATCTCCACCTTCTGGTCTCCACCCCTAGCCGATCCCCACATTCCAGGGACTCCAGATGACATGTGGAAGGAATTGGGTCTGTGGGAACCAGTAGGGATTTTCCCTTTAAGACCAAGGGGAGGCCATATGGGGTTGTTGCGAAGGCATCACCCGCTGCCATATGCTTTGCTATTAACTCCAACCCAAACTGTCCCTCATCCTCCTTCCTCAGCTCCTGGATGACTTTGAGGTGGGAGCAAGCAGAGCTTTTGATTTAGGAGTGAGTACTACGGTGCCCTCAGGAGGTACCTCCCATTTGGGGAGCCCCAGGTCCTCAGCGGTTTTTGAGGAGGTTCTGGTGCCCACCGGGATCTCCTCATTTCTCCCACTGCAGCTTAAGTTGCTACGAGGAAAGCGGAACTCCCATCCCCTTCCCCCTGTGCTGGCGCTCCCAGATCCCGTGGTTGTGAATCTTCCTATCAAGGTGAGTGACACTGGGGGGACCCCTGTATCCTGCAGGGTCCTGGGCTGTGGGGGGACCCTCAATCCCTCTGGATTGGGAGGTGTGGAGGAGATCAAAAAGGATCCAAGGAGAACAGTGCCGTCCCTGTAAGGTGCAGGTGATCGTTGTGGTACCATAAGGACCCCATAAGGTCACCCACAGAACACAAAGGGTTCTGGTGCCATACAGACCAAATAAAGTGACCATAAGGTCACTGTCAGCACTTTGACTTTCAGGATGAAACACTGGTGTGAACCCTGTGCTGTCCCCACCATGTTCCATAAGGACTTGATCATCCCTGCATATCGCCACCAGATCTTTGAAAGAACACAGTCCATTTTCCCATAAAGAAACACCAATAAACACCCCCAGCAAAGCTCCTGCGTCTGTGTGTCCCTCTATTCTTGCATCCATCAGTCCCTTTGTCCTTTTGTCCATGTGTACCCATTATCCCTGCAGTAACTCCATTATTCCACGATTCTGTGATATCCAGTGGGTTGAACACAGTACTGAAGTTGAGGAGATGGCACTGAGTGACGCTGGGGGGGACAGCCCACCAGAGGTAGCACCCAGTGTCCTCTTGAGCCCTCAGCACAATTTCTGACTCCTTTTGGTGCCATTTGGATGCATTCTGTCCCTCCTGCACTCTCCCTGTGGGGCAGCTGCAGCCCCTGCCCTCTGCTTCCCTCTCCCTCCATCTCTTCTTCCCTCCATCCCTCCCTCCATTCTTCCTTCAATTCCTCCTCACTTGGCCTTGCCTTCTACCCGCCCTCCCAGCCAGTGGCAGGGCACCCAGTCCATATGAACTGAAGCCATAAGAGGGTGCTGTAGTCCTGGTGCTTTATAATCCTAACAAAGCTTTTTCATTTTCCCCTTGATGTAGCCCACCAAAATATTTCTCCATTGCAATTAATGATCCCTTTAAAGGCTGTGATCTGGGGAGGTCAGCCAAAATTTCCTGGTGTATCCATTGTTTCATACCTACAGAAAAGGAGCACCTTTTACTAAGTCAAGCTTATGAAAAAATAAAGAAGTGTTTTTGAGGTTGCATACATTCATTTTCTTCCCAACTAATTCTAATATATTTAGCTTTTTATTCCCTTCAATCCTTTCTACAATATGGCAATCAATGCAGAAGAGAGAAAAAAACATATTTGAAATAAACAGAGAAAGACAAGCTCATTGTCACTGATGTGTCGTTTTGCTCTTGTGGCATGCCTTCTGGTATTCTGCCTTCTCTGTTATCTGTCTATACTATTAGCTTTTTGGATCAAAGCCATTTTCTCTACACATAGAGTTATACGAATGATATTGTAGAGCCTTTGGTTTCTCAGCACTGGCATTTGTGAAGGGATAAACGGATACTGCCCCGTTGCAAAAAGGAACTACTAATACCAAGATGCATTTATTACTCTGAGCTGTCGTGGCCTGAAGTCCTGCAAAATCAATCTGCAGTCATTCCCATGGGCCTTCGGTACACTGGTGCTGGCCTGAGGCTTTTACTCCAGCATAATCAGCACTGGTCAGGGCACAAGCATGACAGTTCTTACATCAGCAATCTACTGTCTTCCTCATGTTATGTCACAAATCTGTATCCTTCACTCCCCATTTCCTCCCGAATATACTACATTACAATCCTCAAGAGGACAGTTTCTCCCAGAAATGTGGCATTTTATCACACATACATCAATTTTACCCCCAATAGAGCTCATTTTCTCCCACAAATACCACTACCCCGAGAAATAGCTCCCATTCTCTACCAAAAATGCTGCGTTACGCTCCTCAAGATCACACTTACTCCCATCAAGATGGCATTTGGTCACAGAAATACCAGCTGCTGCCCCCCAAAGTAGGACATTTTCTCCCCAAAACAAGACATTTTCTCCCAGAAATACCACTTCTCTTAGAAATACCTCCCATTTCATCCCAAAAATACTACTTGACGCTCCTCAGGATCACACTGACTCCCATCACAGTGGCTTTTTCTCCCAGATAGACCAGGTTTCCCCCAAACAGACTACATTTTCTCCCACAAAGACCTGGTTTCTCCCAAGGATGGCATACATTCCCCCAGAAATTCCAGCTTATTCTTTAAAAAACGGTCTTTTTCCCAAAATACCAGCTTTCTCACAAACGCCTGTCATTTTCCAACCAAGTCTGCTACTATCTCCCAGAAACAGCCGGTTTCCGAGAAATACCTGACGTTTGCTCTCCCAAATACTACTTGACACTCCTCCCGAGGACATTTTCTCCCCTATTTACCACGTTTTCTCCCCAAGAGACCACTTGGCACACCAAAAAGACCACTGTTGCTCTCCAATACAAGATATTCTTTCGCACCCTTTCCCACTTATCACCCTCAACTATGTCATTTCCTCCCAGAAATGCCACTTTTCCCTTGGAAATTTCACCTTCTCTTCCAAAAAGAGGAGATTTGCTCCCAGAAATGCCCCTTCTCTTACAACTGCCTCATGCTTTCTCCCAAAAATCCTCCATGACAATGCCAAATGGGACACTTGCAACCAAGAAGAGGACACTTTCTCCCAGAAATACCACTTTGATCCCAAAGTGATGGCCTTTTCCCTCTCAAGCTTTTCTTTTCTCACAAATACCTGGCATTTTCTCCCAGAAACACCCGCTTTCTCACAGATACATCACCTTCTCCTCCCCACGTCTGACTTTTTCTCCCAGAAATGCCACAACTCTTTGTAATATTTCCCATTTCCTCCCGAACATACAACATTACACTCCTCAAGAGGACAGTTTCTTCCTGAAATGTGGCATTTTATCACACATAGACCAATTTTACCCCCAATAGAGCTCATTTTCTCCCACAAATACCACTACTCCAAGAAATAGCTCCCGTTCTCTTCCAAAAGTGCTGCGTTACGATCCTCGAGATCACACTCACTCCCATCAAGATGGCCTTTTCTCCCATATAGACCAGGTTTCTCCCAAATAAAAGACATTTTCTCCCAAAAAAGACCAGGTTTCTCCCAAAGATGGCATACATTCCCCCAGAAATTCCTGCTTATTCTTCAAAATATGGCCACTTTTCCCCAACTACCGGCATTCTCACAAAAACCTGTCATTTTCCAACCAAGTCTGCTACTATCTCCCCGAAACAGCATGTGTATATGAAATACCTTTCTTTTACTTTCTAGAATGTGGCATTTTCATTCAAAAATACTGCATTACTGTTGGAAATATGATATCATTTTCTGGAATATGATATTTTCTTCCCTAATTGGAATGTTTCATTCAAATGCACTTTTTCTCTAGATACGCTGTTTTATTTCTCCGAAAAATACAAAAACTATTTCCCTCAGATATACTGTTTTTAGGTGACATAGCCGTCGTTTTTCTCACAGATAGTATAATTTTCGCCTAGGTGTGGCATTTTTCTAAGTAATTTGGTATTTCGGATTGTAAAGTCGTATTCCTTACAAATACCATCAGTGGAAAGGATATATGCACGTCATACGTAGCACAGCGTGGAGGATTCTGCCTGTACACATGCGAACAGGTAGCAGGCTCCAGCAACTCAAACTCTCCGCAGCGGGACAACACGAGTGACGCATTGTGCCTTCAGCAGCAATCTCGTCATTCTCGGTGGCCGAGAATGTGCGAACTCAGTCTACCGCATTGCTAGCAAGCAGGGGCTTTTTTCTCCGCAGTACATAAACAATGGCACTCGACTTTCTGCAACGATCTCCATGAGAGCACAACGTGTGCATCTCCTCGAACTTCTAGCTGCCTTATTAGAGGGGCTTTTCCCCTCTAATAGTAGCACACGAGAGCGAAGCTGGGTAATTGCTATGCGGTAAACGTGCGAATACAGCATATTGCATTGCCTGAAAACAGGGTTTTTTTTTCTCCTGAGGAAAGAATCCACACCTCTCGACTTTCTGTAACATCCTCCCTGAATGCACAACGTGTGTCGCTCCTCGAACTTCCAGCTGCCTTATTAGAGGAGCTTTTCCCTTCTACTCTGTTCGTCACAGAATGCTGAAGTGTAGCACGGATAAACATACAGAAACGAAATGTCGCTAGGAATAAAGGGAAGGACAGATGAATGACAAAGATGCAAGGTGCATTCAGCATGGACACAAGGAGAAGTCAGAACCGCTCCTTTGCGATGTGCGCAGAAGAAGCCGCTCGTCCGAGAAAAGCATCCGGCTGAAGTCGCTCTTTCTCGGCATCCGACAGAGACGAGACCGCTGCTGAAGGCTGCAAGCGGCATTCGGGGAGAACCGCGATTACTCGGCCAGCAACTGCAAACTCTTCGAAGCGGTTCAGCGCGAGTGCCGCTTTCGACCCATGAGAGCGATGCAGAGAATTTGCGATGCGGTTAACGTGCGAATTCAGCATATTGCATTTCCTGAAAACAGGGTTTTTTTTTGTCTGCAGGAAAGAATCCAACGCTCTCGACTTTCTGCAGCGTCCCTTCTGAAAGCACAAAGTGTGTCTCTCCTGGAACTTCTAGCTGTCTTATTAGAGGGGCTTTTCCCTTCTTCTCTGTTCGTCACAGAATGCTGAAGTGTTGCTTCGGATAAACGAAAAAACGGGAAATGTCGCTAGGAATAAAGGATTAAGAATGGGACAGAAGAAAGTGCGGAATGCATGGACACAAGAAGTCAGACCTGCTCCTTTGCAATGTGCGCAGAAGAAGCCGCTCGTCGGAGAAAAGAATCCGGCTGAAGTCGCTCTTTCTCGGCATCCGAGAGAGACGAGACCGCTGCTGAAGGCTGCAAGCGGCATTCGGGGAGAACCGCGATGTACCGGCCAGCAACTGCAAACTCTCGGTAACGGTTCAGCGGTAGTGCCGCTTTCGACCCACGAGAGCGAAATAGCGAAATTGCGATGCCGAGAACGTGGGAATTCATCATACTGCATTTCCTGAAAACAGGGGTTTTTTTCCTCGTAGGAAAGAATCCACAGCTCTCGACTTTCTGTAACGTCCTCTCTGAAAGCACAACGTGTGTCTCTCCTGGAACTTCTAGCTGCCTGTTTAGAGGGGCTTTTCCCTTCTACTCTGTTCTTCACAGAATGCTGAAGTGTTGCATCGGATAATCAAACCAAATCGAAACTTCACTAGGAATCAAGGGAAAGACATAAGAAAGAGAGAGAAGCGCAGTGCAGAATGCATGGACACAAGGAGAAGTCAGAACCCGAATATTCAGTTGCCTTATTAGGAAGTGTTCTCCATTAATCTCTATTTCATCCTAGAATGCAAGAAATGTCCTAGTAGAGAACCTTTCCCGTCTATACATTTTCGTCACAGGCTTTAGAATTGTAGTAACGGAGAACTACCCAAAAACCAGGACGTATATTTAAGAAAACCTTTATTTCTGGTAGAAAATGTCATCTCTTTGGG